CTGAAGGAGGAGGACCTGGTGGACCTGCTGAGGTCCAGTTTCCCTCAGCTGAGTGGAGAAGACAAACGTTTTGACATCTTGACCTGTGATAAGAGGAGACGACTGAAGAGAGTGACGTCAGAACAGATGGACGGACACTCGAGCTGCACAGAGTCCAAGACACTGCCGCTCTTCATCCGCCTCAAGGTAACGACCATGATCAGACCAGAAGCATTCTGATTGGATGTCTACAGCTCAGGTTTTGAACCCCAGATTGACTTCTTTATTTTTCCAGACACAAAATGAACCTCAGGACAACGAGGACATCTGTCCTCTCCAAGAAAACAGAGACTCTGAAGACGCTGTGTTGACGTGTGATAAAACCAGGTAACTGTTATTATTATTATTATATTATTAGTATTATATTATTATTATTATAATTTATTATTATTATATTATTATAATTATATTATTATTATTATTATATTTTAGTAATATTATTATCAACTGTTATTATTATTATATTATATTATTATTATATTATATTATTATTATTATATTATATTATTATAATTATATTATTATTATTATTATATTATTATATTTTAGTAATATTATTATCAACTGTTATTATTATTATTATTATATTATTATTATTATTATTATATTTTATTAATATTATTATTATTATCAACTGTTATTATTATTATTATAATAATAATAAGGAACACAAACATCTGAATGTTTCTCTCTTCACTCTGAGTTTCTCCTCCAGCCTCCTCGTATTTATTCTGCAGAAAGTCAGAGTGAGCAGATGTGAGAACACAGCAGGATATAATCAGGAGAATTCACCTGGAGCCAGTGGGAGGAGCCAGTGGGAGGGGGTGGTGCATGTGTGAATCAGAATCAGAATCAGAATCAGGATCAGAATCAGGATCAGAATCAGGATCAGAATCAGGATCAGAATCAGAATCTGGGTTTATTGCCAAGTACATTTACACATAAAGGAATCTGACTTGGTGTATTGGTGCTAAACAATTAACAAGGAAATAAAACAGAACTAACAACAACTTAAATAATACAGAAGAAGAAGATATTACAATATATAAAATAGAATTTAAAAATGTCAGATATAAAAAACATGACATGTAGGAGCTGTGCAGTGGACACCCTCTGAACTGTTTCTCGTGTTTCCCTCAGCGGCGCTGGTCAGGAGGTCGACGCCAGCGGAGCGGAGGCGTCGTGCAGCTCGATGTCGCACCAACAAGACGTGGACACAGAGCACGCCAACGATGACGGTCGAGAGTTCATCCCAGAACTCTACGAGGACTTTGGAGCGTGCTCAGCTGAAAACAGTAAAGAGGAAGAGAGCGAGGAACAAAGAGCGCCCGGTGACAGCGGCGAGGAGGAGTGGAAACCAGACGAGGGCGAGGAGGAGGTGAAAGAGAGCGACGCTGAGCTGCAGCCGAAGACGACCAAGAAACAAAGAGTGCGACGCTTCAAGGCGACGGAGAAACAGCGCACGTGTAAAGTGTGCAGCGTTTTGCAGAAATCAGAAGCGGCGCTCGTCAAACATGCCTGGAGTCACGTGGACGATCCGAGGAGTCTCTGTGGCGTTTGTGGAGAACGTTTCCCGTCTGAGGCGGCGCTGAACGAACACCTTCTGACTCGCCACAAAACAGCGGACTGCCACGTCTGCGGCGAGTCGTTTTTAAGCGTCCTCGGCCTGAATGAGCACGTGGCGGTGCACTCGGGGGAGAAAACGTACGAGTGTGACGTCTGCCCCGAGACGTTCGCGTTGAAGGCGACGCTCGAGAATCACAAGAAACGCCACGAAGCCAGAAAGACGCATAAATGTCACACGTGTAATAAAGTGTTCGAGGCGAGGTCGCAGCTGAACGCTCACCGCGTCACGCACACTCATCTCTGCGGCGTGTGCGGGAAGTCGCTCAGTGACTACAGGTCGTTATCACGCCATAAGATGACGCACACCGGGGAGAGGCCGCACAGCTGTGAGACATGTGGGCGGAGCTTCAAACTGGCGGGGACGCTGAGACAACACGAGAAGATCCACACGGAGAGAGAGCGAGCGTTCCTCTGTGACGTCTGCTGTAAGATGTTCCTGAGCAGCAAACAGCTGACGCTCCACATGAGGACGCACACCAACGAGAAACCCTTCCACTGCGCAGAGTGCGGGAAGGGCTTCACCACCAAGGGGCCTCTGACAGTCCACATGAGGGTCCACACGGGGGAGACACCGTACCGCTGCCCCGACTGCGGTTGGTCCTTCAAACGTAAAGTTCACCTGGATAACCACGTGACGGTGCACTCCGACCTCAAACCGTTCGTTTGTGGGATCTGCGGGAAGGCGTGCGCTCGCAAAGTCTACCTGAAGGTCCACATGAGGACGCACAACGGGGAGAGACCGTACAAGTGCACCCTGTGTGAGAAAGCCTTCACGCAGAGTCACTGTCTGAAGAGTCACCTGAAGAGTCACCTGACCCAGGAAGCTGTGACCTCCTGACCCGGGCGCCGTTTGAGGATCAGATCTGTGAAGGTCGGATTGTTCTACTCCACTTAAAGTCTTAAAATGTAGAAATCCAGTCTATCCTCTGTAAATAACTCTGTGAGTCATGACTGTCTACAATGGGTGTAACACCCGAGTCCCACTGTCTGTCATGTTTTCAGAGTTTTCAGAGTCCTATCTTCACTTTGTTTACATCGCCAGGACGGCCGGCTGACTCCTCCCCTCGTGTATAAAAGTTGTTTAATTGAGGGACTAGAGAAAAGAAGAATAACATACTGTACTCACTGCTTAACTGTGTTTCTAGATCACGCTCATTTCAGGTACATTTACATGCAGTGTGCAGCTTCTTTATTGTCACTTCAGCAACGCTTCTATTAGACTATAAAACTTTATTGATCCTCAGCGGGGAAACTCATTTATCACCTGGTCAGTTCATACACACAACAAACAATATCTACAGTACACAACAAGTAAATAAATAATAAACAAACCATTTGAATAATCATGTACAGCCATGAGTCAGAAACACAAAATGTTCATTAAAATATGAGACTGCTGCAGGAACAAAAGGAGCTCCTGAGCCGTTCAGTGGAACATTAAGGCATCACTAGTCGCTCACTGAAGGAGCTTCAGAGTCCGTTAAAAAAAGGAGTTGACTGACATCTTTGTGGAAGCTTTAAAGAGGAAACAGAGAGAGAAAGGAACACGGGGAGGAAAGAGAGACGGGATAGAACATTAAAATCCTAAAACCACACTTCGCCTAAAAAGAAAAAGATTTCATCAAACTCTCAGAAAAGACCTCAAAGAAACATTAAAAACATTCTCTTCAACTAATGATTTCACAAGTCAGACCAGTGTAGGAAAAAATATGAATCCAAAGTATTTAACATAAGGAAATGATCTTAAAGGAATCTGTGATTTAAAAGAACAGCACAGCTTCTTCTCCTTCGTCTCCAAACGATCCGTCTGCCGCTCACCGCTTCACGCCTCAGAATGAGTCTCTGCCATTAAGGTGTGTTTGCGTGTCGATGCTAATGTTAGCTCTTTACGCTAAATTACCTCAGGCAAATCTAACAGGGAGTTCAGATGGCAGGGTCAGCAGCAGTGTTTGAATCACCTTCTCTGTGCCGTAGGTGTACAAAGCAACACAAACAACCATGATGACATTGAAATAGATCATTACATCTTATATCAGGTTGTACTGAACACAACAAAAATAATAAATGAAGTGTATGTGCAGACATGGCTACAGCTGGTTCACTTCATTGTTCTCTAACGCTCACCTCAGCAGAGTTTCATTCTGATCACTCTTCACTTGTATCTTACCCAGATATATTTGAATATCTTTTTGTCATCAAAGCATACGTTGATTATATTTGTTTGTATATGTTTGTATTTGTTTGTATATTTGTTTATTTATATTTGGTTCTTAATTGCACTGTACGTTGTTACTCTTTTTACTCATCGTCTATACTATTTTTTTATTTTTGCATTGTTAAGGAGAGCTTGGAACACAAACATGTCATTGCCAGCTATGACTGCTTTGCCTGTTCTGTTGTGCATTTGACTAATAAAGATAACTTGAACTTAAACTATTTGTGTGTGAAGATCAGGTGACACCATGTTCCCAAACCTATTCATACTTAATGATTCTTGTTACGGTTCATTACAATGTGTAAATACATCGTTCACATTTATTGTTCCCTGGGCCGAGCAGAGCACGGAGCCAGCAGCACCACTATTTGAATATCCTGTTAACGTCTAATGTTCTGCATTTGGATTATTGTGAAACCAGAACATTTAAATACACGTTTAAGATCAGGATTGTTCAGACTGACTTCAAAGTTTAATGCAAATAAAACGCTGGAGCGAATGACTGAACAGTCCTGTGTGCTGCACCCTGGATGAGCAGCCTGTGCTCTCCCCTGTTCTCTTTGTATCATCTGTCTTGTTTAATGGAAATGGTGGAGAAGGGGGGGGGGGGCATAGAGCGTGCAGCCTAACCTGGCAGAGCTCAAGTCTAATCAGGCTTCTTGCCCAGCTTCTGCCCTCCCCTGTTTTTTTTATTCCATCTCTCTACAGACTGATTTCTGTAGAGAGCTGCTGGGTCTGCTCCAGTGGCAGGGCCATGTGGTAGGATAGGTGGAACCTGGGTCTGCTCAGGTGGCAGGGCCATGTGGTAGGATAGGTGGAACCTGGGTCTGCTCCAGGTGGCAGGGCCATGTGGTAGGATAGGTGGAACCTGGGTCTGCTCCAGGTGGCAGGGCCATGTGGTAGGATAGGTGGAACCTGTGTCTGCTCCAGGTGGCAGGGCCATGTGGTAGGATAGGTGGAACCTGGGTCTGCTCCAGGTGGCAGGACCATGTGGTAGGATAGGTGGAACCTGGGTCTGCTCCAGGTGGCAGGGCCATGTGGTAGGATAGGTGGAACCTGGGTCTGCTCCAGGTGGCAGGACCATGTGGTAGGATAGGTGGAACCTGTGTCTGCTCCAGGT